TGACGCCGCCGGCCGCGTGACCGCCGTAAACGAATTTGTCGCTCATCGTAGAGATCGGCGGTAACGGCTGCAGCGGCGTCAGCGTGGCGTACGACGAGCCCGGACTGAAGCCGGGCGGCGACATCCTTTCGGCGACCGAGGTCAGTGTCTGATACGTCGGCTCCGGCTGCATCGCCCTGAAGTCCGTCGCGTCAATCATGCTCGCGACCGACACGCTGATCCCCGACGTAGGCGTTAGCTTGCCCGGACTGAGGAGCTCCGAGTCGTCGGCGTCGCGCGAGTCCACGTCCACGTCCTGAGGCGGCACGATCACCGACAGGGACTCCCGCGCGCTCTGCCTGCCACCGCCGCCACTACTACTACTACCACCACTGCCACTACCGCCGCCGCCGCTGCCGCCGCCACTGCCGCCGCCGTTACCACCGCTGCTGCCGTTGCCGTTGCCGTTGCCGTTACCGCCACCGACGGCGCGTCCGCCGCCGCTGCCGCCTCCGCCACCGTCACCGTTGCCTCCGATTCCGCCGCTGCCGCCGCCGGCACCGCCGCCACCGCCGCCGCCACCACTATCACCGCCACCACCACCGCCGACGCTCGGCGGATCCTGGGACGACGACAGATCCTCCGCGGCGGCGAGGTCTCGCTCCTCCTTGACGCCGAGCGCGCCAGCCGCGAGCAGTTCCAGCGGTAGGCTCGCGCACGCGATGTCGGGGCTTTGAGAGGCCGACGAAGACATACCCTCGACGCTACCTCCTCCGTTACCACCACCACCGCCGCCGCCACCACCACCACCCCCGTTACCACTGCCGCCGCCGCCTCCACCGCTCCTACCACCCCCCGTTTCGTGCACGACCTCGTGCTGATGCTGCTGCTGCTGCTGTTGATGATGGTGGTGATGGTGGTGGTGGTGCTGGCTGTGATGGTGATGATGGTGGTGGTGGTTGTGATGCCTACCCCCACTGAGCACGGTGCCCCTACTGCTACCTCCACCTCCGCTATCACTTCCTCCTCCTCCTCCTCCTCCTCCTGCGCCTCCGCCTCCTCCGCCACAGTTCCCATTCGAGCCGCCCCCACCGCCCCGGCCATGCGTAGACACCGCCACCGGGGAATCGACCGAGTCCAGTAATTGCTCGCTATGCGATTGATGATCGCCTATGTCCCCTATACCTTCCATTTACGCACATCTAGTTCGGTAGTGGGCGCACTGCCACTCGCTCCTTCGCTGTCGTACGCCGCCGACGACGACACTCCGTCGTACCGCGTGCCACACAGGTCGCACCGCACCGCACCGCACCGCAATACACCACACAGCGCGCGCGCGCGCTTAAGTAGTTCTTTTTTTTCCGCGATACTTTCTTCGCGATCGCGAGCAGTACTCTCTACTCTGTTCTCTTCCTCCGTTTACGTTGTTTTGAGAGAGAGGGTTGCAACAGAATCCTCTCTCCGATCACTGATCTCGTTGATCTACTCTCATCACTGATTACCGCACGACCGCGAAACGACGACGTGTACGATCCTCCCGGCGACTACCCCGCGAATACAGCGCGTAAGCGGACGACAACGACGATGACAACGACGACGACGCTGATGCTGAGGCTCCACCGTCACGTCGGATCGGCATAAGGAGCACCCGGTGGTAGCGCAACGACCACCGTGCGCCCATGACACCGCGCGAGTGCGGAGAGAGTGAGAGCGCACGCTCTCTGCGCTCGCGCGTCCGAGTGCGAGCGCACCCGGCACCGGCTCTTCCCGGTGGAAGAGACGAGGAGAGAAAGAGAGTGAGAGTGAGTGTGAGAAAGAGAGAGAGAGAGAGAGAGAGAGAGCCGCAGGCGGACCCAGAACACGAGACGAAGGGGGTCGATTTCACCGCACTCTGTCCCGCACCGCTGCCTCCGTACCGTCTCGTTCTCTATCGGGGACTTGTTCCGCTCCGCCCCCTTCCCCTAACGGTCCCTACTCCGGGTGTTCCGAGTCACACTACCGGCACCACTGCCACCTGGTCCGTTCTACTACCCTGTTACACTGGTCCGTATTACTACCACTATATCACTACCGCTCGCGCGCTTCTTCGTGTCGCGTGCCGCCAAGTTCCTCTCCTGGTCCAGGTGCGACCGCGTCTCCGTCCTCCTCTTCCTCCTCCTCCTCCTCCTCCTCCTCCCCCCGCCGCCTCTTGGTGTTTTTTTGTCCGTTCCGTTCGTTCACGGAGGGGAGTCCGTTTCGCTCACACACTATACACCACCACTGTCACTATCACTATACACCAGCATAAGGCTATACACCGTCAACAAGGAGCCGTTACCGTTGTACCTGCGCAGTGGTCCCGTTCGCGCCTTTTCTCCCCACGATCGGAGCCGAGGGTCCGCGTCCACGTGAAGGCGACCCGGAAAGACGGTGCCGGAAACTACCGGGAAAATCTCGCCGTCTCTTATCCCCCTCGCGACGATCCGCGCGCGACTACGAGTTTCCGGACTATCGGCCGGAAGACAGCTATTCGCGACGACTATCGACTTTCGCGATCGTCCTTTGGTGTTTTTCTTTCGCTCGCGGCTCGACGAGGTTGCGAGGGTGCGACGACGATAACTTCGTACGTACGCAGCAGTTAAGTGACAGAAGCGACCCCTTGCCGGTCACACTCGCCGGCTAAGCCACCACCATCAACGGCGCGCCACTAAGGGTGTGTGGGTGACACGAACACCCACCGCCCACCACCGTCACGACGTCGACGACGACGACGACGAGGACCACCACCACCACCGCCGCCACCAGCAGCGACTTCAACTACGACGCCGCCGCCGCTGGCGTCAGTCAGCTTTCTATCGATTTTCCGATACCTCGTGACCAACGTGGCTCGATGCGCGCGGCTCGATACTTCGAGCATAAACATCGACTCGCGTCACCCGCGTCCACCCGCCGTCACCGCCACCGCGTCCCGCTCGACCTCGACCCAGCCGCTGATGAGAAGGCTGCTCCGAATTCGACGCGATTCGATTCGCGATCGTCACCCGTCTTCCCCCTGCAATGAAACGTCGCCTGTCTTTTCGGAGTTACAGTCGGGGCACAGCGCGACGAATTGTTTCTCGAAGAAAATCGTCCGTGTCTCTTCAAAAACTCTGATACACTCCGCAAGGGCCTCCCGCGGAGATGTCCACGACACTTCACAGTCTTCTTTCGCGATCTCCTGCGAGAATCGGCCTCGACTCTAGTTTCCAACTTCCTTTTTCCTCGAACTAGGTCGCCGACGTGATAGTTGACGCCGCGGGAAGTTACTTCGCCCTTCGCACCAAGTTTCTTCTGTGCCGTGCACTGCGTACTTTGCTCCTCTTCTCCACCGGAAAATTGTCGACGCGGTCAGTCAGGTTATTTAAACGCCGATCTGGCCGGTCGATCGCCGAATCGATACATCTCGGACTGATCCAATACGAGACCCGCTCTCTCCTCGCGAGGCGTCGATTCCACGCGCGCGCGCGCGCGCGCGGGCGCGCGTAAATCGCCTTCGAAATCACGCGCTGCCGGTCTCGCTCGACCTCCAACTTCAGGATCGAAACGTCGATACGCCGATAAGGTCCGCGTCGTCCACCATGACGACGGTCCGCCGCGCCGAGATTCGCTCTTCAAGATGTCGTCTTCCTCCCGTGGCCGCGAGAACGAACGATCCGCGAGAACGATAACTCGATCGAGCGACACCGATGGCGGAATTCACCCACATGCGTGTACACACATGTACACACACACACACACACAAACGCGCGCGCGCGCGCCGGGCAGGGGTGGCAGAGAAGAAGAGGGGTCGTCGACGATTGGTCGCGGCCGGCGTCGATACGGCGACGACTGGCCGCCCGCTCTCCTCTCGCTGGAGACAAAGAGAGAGAGAGAGAGACCGCAACGGCGTCGAATCGACTGTCAGGCGCTTCGGCCGCGCGCTTTCGATCGATCGGCTTTTGCCGGAGTCGAAGTCGCGGCTCGACGCTTCGCGCGGCGCGCTCGATGGCGCACCTGACCTCGAAGGGTGGCGCGAAGAGAGGAAAGACAATTCCTTCGGATACTTCTCTCCCTTCGGGGCCGGGCGGTACGGGGATACTTCGGACGCGACCGATCCTGGACTTCGTAATCCCGCGACTCGCCGACGCCGGCTCTCTCGCGCGCTCGCGTGCGCACGCTTCAAAGCGCACCGCGACGCTCTCTCTCCTCTATGTGTGTGTGTATGTATCTCTCTCTCTCTCTCTCTCCCTTTCCTTCTTCGCACCCTCAGCGCCTCCCGCTGTCGTCGGCGTCGTCCTCGTCCTCCCGAATTCCGTCGCAGTTTGCCCGGCACGCAAATTTTCTCTCGAGAAGACGCGACTTCCTCGGCGGCGGAGCGATCCCTCTTTTTTTCTTCTTGCTCTTCTTATTCCTCTTCTTGTGCTCCGCGGTGATCCCTCGGACCTCGGATATCGGGCTGTCCGCGGGAACCGCGCGTGGCGAGAAGGAGCGTTTCTTTACGGCAAGGGCGCGCACGAGGTCGAATAGTGTGGTGTTGTTGGAACACACGGAGAGAAAACGAGCGCGTCTCGCGCTCGCACGGAGTTGTGCGGAGTTGCGCAAATCGCGAATGCTACGCTACGCGAGAGCCTCCAGCAGGAGGGTGCCTTTCTCTCTCTTTCTCTCTTTTGCTCTCTCTCTCTCTCTCTCTCTCTCTCTCTTGAGGGGCGAGACGGGAACGACAGAGTTGAGGGGCGCACGAGGGGGTTGCAAGAGCACCGCGGGGAGGAAGAGGGGCGGAGATCTCGCCACGGGGATCTGTAACGAACTCGATACGCAGGGGTTGAGGAGAGGGACGGGACGGCAACGGGGGATGAAGGGCGAAGAAGGGAAACACGGGGAGGGACGTGGGGGAACGAACTAGTCAGGGGTGGCCCAGGGACCACTCGACCGCGTCCGGTACCCCAAACGACGCACAATGTTGCTTCTCAATTAGACGAACCTCTTCCTATATGGCTTCGCGCGCCCGCTTTTTTTTTTCTTCTATTCCGTTCCCTCGCGGCAGCTTGGATCGATAGCCGGGTTCGATGCTCCCGAGGTTTATGATTTATCGAGCGACGGGGAACAATCATCGATTCCGCTTCTACTCGGAGCTGTGTTTGCTATCGGCGGCATTGTCAGGTCGATATCGATCCGTCGAATTGACTGACACACCGCGGCTGTCACGCCGCAGTATCTTTATACCGGCACCTGCGCGCGTGCGCATTGGCTTCTCAAAAATTTATTTAATTCTATTGAGCTGTTCGCGAAAGAGAGAGAGAGAGAGAGAGAGAGAGAAGACAAGACAGATGGAGTAGAATTTTTGAAATTAATGGGACAATCGAATGAATAACAGTATTTTATATTTTGAATAATCGAATAACACGGTATATACGGAAACATTGACTTTTTCAATATTAAGCGCGCATACAGGATTCATTAATGTTCAATTCAATGAAAGCAAATAAATGGAAACGAAATCATTTCTGTAACAGTGTGATATTCCAATGTACAATGCTTTATAGTTTGACGAGCGCGCTGTACTTACACTACTTACAGTCTTAACTTTATACGATTAAATATTCTGAAGTGCTCAAGAGCGTTTTGTATCTTAACAACAATGATAAGCAACGCCACAACAAAACATTCTATCGGAAAGAATAAAAATAAAAACAAAATTAATTACTATTTAGATAAAGATACGTTCGTTTATGTATAATAATATAGATAAAAATAATACTATTTACATATATATTTAGATATATAATACATAATATATTATATCAGGCACACACAAACAGGTTTTTGCGAAAGTTAGGTGTTATATTGTTTTATTGTATTTTGTTACTGTTATTGTTTACGATCCGTCCAAAACAAAAATAAAATTTATAATTATAATTATGAACATGAAATATCAAATATTTTTTAAAATTGAAAAAGCAATACTCGTGCCAACAATCTTACATGATTTTAATTAAAAAATATATAGAAACAATATAAAAAAGTAAATAAATCTCTTCAGTAAAGAGAAGAGTCTTACATTTAATAATCTTCTTTCTTCAAAAATACCTATTTTCTCGTACAAGATGAAAACCTACATGGAAAATCGTTAAAATATATAAGAAGCTTAAAAGAATAAGTTAAAATATATACCTATACAAGAAAGATTCGCAACACTTTGGGATTGCACGCATGAACATATAGCATAATTTTTCACTCAAATTGAATTAAATGTTTTAAAAGTTTTCATATTTTCATAGCATATTTTATTACAAGAAGAGGGGAGGAGAGAAATAGATTTTGTACAACTTGTACTTGTCAATGAACAATATGTTTTTAGAATAATTAGCTTCTAAACAATTGTTTTTGTAATTTTCAAAACGCTTGATCGGCTGCTTTAAATATGCGTAATAATAATTAGTAAGATAAATTATACAGTATTATTTTATTTTATTTTATTTTATCTTATTTTATCTATAACTTTTTATACATAATTCATGCCCCTCAACTAAACATGTCACTAAGACTACAGAGTTTTTTTTTAAATTACGTCATGTGCGCGGGCGAATATTTTCCCTCAAGCGGAAATCGACGTCCGAAAGGGCCATAAAGAGTATGATAAACGACAGATATAAAGTGTGCGAATCCATACGTCTTATTAAAAGGAAATCTGAGGAATCCGGGACTGTGTGTAAGTCATCGCGATGTTAGACGCGGCGCTGGAATTACGGGTACACAGCCATGCGGAGAGAGAGCCGCGGGCGCTCCGTTGTTGTGTGCCTCGGACTGTTTGCTAAGTAGTTGCCAAGGAGTATAGAGCTTCGGAATACAAGGAGACTTATGTCTGTCCGTCCGTTCGATCGCGGGAGCGCGTCGGATGCAGCCACGGTGCAGCACGCCGCGGCGGCGATGCGCTGCCGGCTCTACGAAGCGGCCATTTACAATTCAATTCATCCGCAATTACAATACAAGTGACTCACCCGCCCACTCATCTACCAACTCCCTCCTTCCCCCCTCCGCCCCTTTGCCTGCCGGTTTCCAATTCTATACGTACAGCATTCTCCGGAAAGGTCGCAAACTTTGTCGGGACTCCAGGTTCCGCGGTGCGGAATTTCCAAGATGAATCGGAAGGGGTTTCGGTTTCGTTTCTGATTCG